GTTCTCAGGCCCTGCCAGGCCTTCTTCAGAAAAAAAAAAATTTTTCAATAATTTGGAATTTCAATCTTCCTGCCGTTTTGGCAATATATTGGCATTGTGTTTTTGGCCCGTTTTAAGGGAGTTTTATCGCTTCCAGAAACATTTCGAACAACAAAAAAGTTTTCCGATCATTATAGAGCCAAAAATGCATCTTGTTGCATAATGCCAGAAACCCAAAATTGGCATCCCAAATTTTTTTTTCAAAACGAAAAATTTTTTTTCTGAAAGTACCGGGCCTAAAATTTCCTATCTCAAGGTTAAGGCGGTCCCAAAAAATGTAGATCCAGCCCCAATCGGCTTCAGCCCCAGAAAAGATGGGCCTGGCCCTTTGAAAAACTGCTGAAGTCCGGCCCGGCCCACACGGGCTGTCTCATGTCTACTTTCAAGTGTTGAGCATCATGGAAACGCCCCAGATCCCCCTACTCCCTCATCTCCCTCATCTTCACCTATTCCCGGTCAAACGTCCGTGGCGGCCCCCACCAAAGAGCAAAATACGAAAAGCCTCAAAGCAGAGCTGTTTTTTGGGCTGACCGGCCCAAAGAGCGACCAATAAAACGAAGAAAAAAACAGCAAGCACGAAGGCACGGGAAGAGGGGGTAGGAAGGGGAATGAAATAACATGCATGCAAAAAACAGGAACTGGGGTTGTGACCGAAGGAAGGTGTTATCAGAAAAAATCCGGCGGGCCCTGTAGTCGTAAATTTTGAAATCTCCGGGCAAGATTTTTTGAGAGTTCCAGGTGTTGGTAACGGACACCAGGCACGTCAAACTGGATACACTCTCAGATTTTCTTTCAATTTTGCACAGTCGTTAGGCATATTCCACTTACAGTGGGGGACCTGATCCAGTGGCAAAAAACAAAAATTTGGCAAAATGCTTCCTCTCCAAGCAAAAAAACTTCGGGTTGAAAGGCGCGCTTTTGAAATTGAAGATTTTTCACTTGGTGATGGAAACATTTTGTCACCGTTTTAATACTTCCCGGATGCAAAATGGTACGCGTTATGCCACTGGATCAGGTCCCCCACTGTATCAATGCCCAAAAGTTTTAGCTCGCGCTTTGCAGGCAACGCCGAGATATTGAACAATCTTTGCGGCCGAGAGAGTACGAAAAATGTGGAGACCGGCCATTGAAAAGACTGTACAGGCCCATTAACATTTTTTCTTGTACTAAACGGACCAAAAAGTTTTGACATGTCTGCACAGTGCGCCGTCGTGCATAAAATTTGCGAAAATTTTGTACACGACAAAAAATTTACGGTGCAATGCGACCCACACAGTGAAAAAAGGTTGTTTTGAAAAGGGCAGTCGAAAACACACTGCGCTCTTTTTTCACACCCCGCCGAATTTTTACCGTGCAACACCTTGTCACAACGCCGAATTCATGCGCCCGCACAGACTGTGTGAAAACATGACAAGAATTTTTGGACTGCCTAGTACTATTCGTCATTTTTGTTTTGAGCTTGCAGTGGAAATAACGAGCAACAAAGACTATCCGAATATAACATCAAGAAAGGACCTAGCAAAAGGTTAATTTCATGCCAAAATGTAACCCATATAACCGCTTCCCAATATCAAACAAATGTTTGGTATTTAGCGATTCATAGAATAAAGCTATAGGCTTATATTTCTCCGGCATTGTCATAAGGGTGCTTCAGTAAATCAAGTCGACCTATCGGCCCATCAGTCTGTCGGAAAAATAATGAACACTGTCGCATCGAAATTTACAAACATTTTTATTTTTAATTCCGAAGATATATCAATTCTGTATACTGTGTCAAGTTCTAAGCGTTTCCCAAATAAGGATTTTTAGAACCTGTGTAAAATACGCCGGCTCTGGCAAGGTGACAATATCAGCCTGTCGGAAATATAATGAGCACTCTGTCGCATCAAAAATCGCATCGCTGCCGAGAAAATGAATTGTGTCTCGGCGAAATCAAGTTTCGTTTTATTTCAGCGACGCGATTGGCACAGCGACATTGCGCTTATTGTTTTCCCGACAGGCTGATAGACCAGCCTTTGAAGGTCAAAACTCTCCCCTCCTTCTTACCTGCCCACCCAAAAAGTATAGTTGGCATTAAACCCCTCTTTTTACATCAGATCTCCCGCAAAATTAATCCAACTAATATCACAGCTATTTATAACCGATATTACATATATTGCTCCACAAGCTTCGAAATTGCGTTCCCACTGCCGAGTAGCCACACAAAAAACTTGGGGCTCTCACAGAAAACGAAATATCAAAAAAAAAAAAGAAAAGAGCGAAACGAAAAATAAGTGATAAAAAATCCGTGGGGGCATGAGGCGGAGAGTTGGCCACCAGCTGGCTGACTGTCCGGCGGCTTGTTTTTTCGCCGCCACCTCGAATGCCCCTTTAGTGGAAAAAACGCCTCGGGCGCTTGCGGGGCCCATATGGACCGAGTCCGGCCCCGGCCCGACGGGATGACGGCGGAAACGGGGGTAAAGACACGGAGCGAAAATTCGAAAGCAAAGGTGTTACCGGCGCTGCAAGTAGAGGACTGGGATTTTTGAGGCTGAATGCGGGGAGTAGAAGGTAAAAGACGATAAGGTAAGGGGATTAAAAGCGGATTGCGAAAAAAATGTTGAAATAAAATTCAAATTTCCAATGGTAAATAGTATTTTCACTTTTTATTTTCTTAGGTAAGCACTCTAAAGAAGTTATTCTTGGGCATTCCAATAGAAAACTAAAATAAAAAAAAAAAATTTTGGTCCCGACACGAAAACCATCAAGTTTGAAAAAGTAAAAAATATTCTTGAAAATCATGTTTTGAACTTTGAGTGCTTCAAGAAAACTCAAAAATACTGCATTTTCTTCAAATTCGTGTCATTGGCATTCTGTTGCAAGTGCCAAAAGTCTTCAGAAAAGATAAAAACCGAAAGGAAAAGGGTTAAAAATGGAACTGCGCAGTGCTACAGGTACCCCTTGCCTGTGTTTCATATTGAAAAAAAGCATTAATTTTTCACTGCCCACTGTGTTTAGTATCAGTCTGTCGGGAAAATAGTGAACGCCCTGTCGCATCGAAAACCGCATCGCCGCAGAGAAAATGAATTGTGTCGTGACAGAATCAAATTGCTTTTCAATTCAGCGACGCGAAGCGACATTTCGCTCACTATTTTCCCGACAGGTTCATACTCTACGTAGGCCGCAAAAAAGGGAGCGAAAATTTTAGCACACGCTTTTCAAGTGATGCCAAGATATTGAAACATCTTAAGAATAGCCGTTGACCTCGAGAAAAAGTTGCTAGTTTATCAGTCTGTCGGGAAAATAATAAGCGCAACGCTGCATTCAAAATCGCAAAAATGAAAAGAAATTTGATTTTGCCGCGACACATTTTCATTTTCGACAGACTGATAAACGGTTTTCCATACACCCTCAATATTTATTGCAAGCTGCAAAGGATTTCCGGCACAAAAATAGCAACTGTTTACCCCAAAAATTACAGTAATCACCCGGCAAATTTTGTCGCTCTGGTCTCGAACCATTTCATAAACCTCTTTGCTGTTCCTGTTCGAGTATGTTCCGCTGTTTTTTTTGCATTGTTTTTCTGCTCCGGACATTCGGGATGTCCGCTTGGAAATGGACGGGCATTCCTTATCGCCCCGAAAATTTTTGGTGGGCGTCGAAATGGCCGGCCGCAAAAACAAAAAATATGAAAAGCAAGTGATGAGATGGGATGGGGACAACAGGCCGGCTTGGGAGCATTCCCGGAAATATTACTGTTGTTTTGATGGTGGGGCGACATTTTATACGAAAAGATGGGTATTAATAAAGAATTATCAGCGCTATTTTTGAAACGAAAACATGGTGGAAAAAGGCTATTTTGAATGTAAAAATGCTTTGATCAACGTGAAAGCCCTTTAATATTTAACTGCGTGGGCCGTAAAAAGTGACATTTTATACGAAAAATGAAATGTGCTATCGTATGCAATTACATCAGTTGCAATGTTTTAAAAAGCTTTATTATTTACAGATTCGATGACTGTACCGTATTTTACAATGGATTTTCGTACTAGCCAAGCTTTTTTAGGAAGTTGACATTTTATACGATTGAAATGTTTCATCGTATAAAATGTCTCCATGCATCTGACATAACATCTAGAAACAACTGCTCAAAAATTCGTATTTTACAAAGGATTTGTCGTACTAGACAAGTTTTTTTTGGAAGGTGACATTTTATACGATGGAAATCTTTCATCGTATAAAATGTCTCAATATTAGAGGAAGATTTTTCTAGGAACCGTGGTAGACGCCGTATTTTACAACCTTTTTTGCTTTTTGCTGAAAAGTTTTTGAAAAGGGACGTTTTATACGATGAAAATATCATTTCATCGTATGAAATGCCTTCAACAGTGAAAAAACGTATTTGCTCCTCCAGCAAGTAAGATCTGTAAATTTTCTGCTATTTCTCGAAAAATCCGAGGGCTTAGACTTCCAAATCTCCTCGAAATCCATGGTAAACCCAGCGCAAATTCCAAAAATAGCCAAATTTGTACATAGCTCTCCGCTAAAAGGATTTGCCGCAAATTATTAGAAAGGATCATCCCAGATTTTTTTCATGAAACAACAAGACGATTACTGTGCTAATATCTATAAATGTTTTAAAAAACGTTTTTATTATTATTTTTATTCAAATCAACAAAAGTTATTGACAATCGGGTTGATAAAATACGAAAGATTGATGGCACATGGTGAAAAAAGTTGTGTAAAAATTACAATTTTGTGAAGGTAATAGATTACATGTAGTGTAAAAATAAAAAAATCTGAATATTCAAATTTTTCAATATTAAAATTTTTTTAGAATATTCAAATTTTTCAATATTAAAAAAATCTTTGAATATTCAAATATGATAAAAAAAATTAAGATCAAGAAAAAATAAAAACAAAAATTATTCAAATTTTTTCGAATTTATGCAAATTTTTCGATTTAAGAAATTTGCATAAATTCACTCATTGTAATCCATGAGAACCGGCGAATTTTTCTGACTCTGCTGCTCATGCGAGAAGGTGACATTGGCCATTTCATCCGATTGTCCGTCTGAATTGGGACAAAACACGCTGGCCAAGGGGTAGTCGTCCATTTCTGGCATGGGATACGGGGGGTTCTAAATGAATTTTGGGTAATTTCTGAGCTGAAGAATGAAAAAATAATAATAAAAATTGTAAAATACGCGTTTCTCAACATCAGGTGGAATTTTGCAAAGAAATTTCTGTTTGATGTTTTCGTTTCGGGAGCCAATACTTTTTGGCTTTGAAGCGATTGCAACCTTCAAGGTAAAATGCAAATTTCCAACGATAAATAGTATTTCAGCCTTTTACTTTTTCCAGGTAAACACTCTAGATTGCCAATTTTTGCTCATTCCAATCAAAAATCAAATTTCAAAAAAAGTTTTTTGGTCCCACCACGAAAACCATCAAATTTGAAAAAACAAAAAAATCCGTCGAAAATCGAGTTTTCAACCCCGATCGCTTCAAAAAGCTCAAAAATACCGCGTTTTATTCAAATTCGAATCTTTGGCATTCTGTTGCAAGTGCCAAAAGTCGTCAAAAGGCGATAAAAATTACCACAAAATTTTCGAAAACTACTAAAACAAAAATTCTTTATATATATTTCACTTTATATCTTACCATATTCACAAATCGTCCACTGCTTTCCGGCGTACCCGGACTCATCTTGTAACCACCTGTACTGACCCTCGAATCCATCATGTAGTATTCTCCACTGTGCTCCGAATAGTTTGGCGACCTGATAAAACTTGAATTCTTTTCGGAGCCAAATCCCGAGTCGTTGAAAATTGGATTCATTGGATAGCAAGGGGAATTCGATCGACTTCTTCCATTGCGAATATTCAGTTGAACAAAAGCCGCTTGACTGTCATAGATGGGGTCGTACCGGGACTTCTGAAACGGTATGCCGTTAGTAAAATTGAGGAGGAGAGGGTCAGGGGATTTTTCTTTATTTTTTTTTTTTTTGATCTGACCAGTAACCGAACCGATTTTCCCGATTTCACCCTATCTGCGAAAAGTGCGCCTGCTCGCCGGGTATGGATCCAATGGGCTATAATTTTTTTTTTCAATTGGAGGCCAGCATCTGTACTACACGCCAAAAAAGTTTGGAGTCGCAAAGTAAATGCTGCTCCAAGAACGGGACCGATTTCCTCAAAAAAAGCTGCGGCCAAAAGCCCAAAATTTTAAGTCACGTTTGGAGCTCTATATCGCCACCAAAAGCAGCCACGGTGAAACGGATTGAATATGTTATAAATAATGCTCTATGTTATTGATGATGACTTTTACTTTTGCGGAATTTTGATTGCTAGGAAAAATATAGCTATAAAAATAAGTTTCCATTTTTTGCCGCACCCTGTATTTGTTATTACTAGGCCAATTTCGAAAAAAATCTGGAAGCAGTAGAGCTGAATTCCCTAATATTATTCTGTCGGGAAAATAATGAGTGCAGAAAAAATTGTGTCGCGACAAAATCAAATTGCTTTTTACTTCCGAGAGAAGATTGGCACAGCAAGAATATGTTCATTATCTTCCCGACAGACTGATACGAAGAATCACAAAAAATATTGAATTTCTACCAAGCTTCAAATCAAAAATTAGTGTTAGTTTCTGCAAATTTTAAACTAAAAAGTATAGTTCATGTCCTAGAAGGCAATTGTCATAAATTTGTATAGCATTTCACAGATTTCTCGGCGTCCCATTTTTAGTACTACCCCTGTCAACACCAACGTCATCCACATACAAACCATACCTTCACATTCTTCAACACCCTGAAAGCCGCTTCACTGGCCGCGCACTTGGCGGCAGCCCAGCTTTCCAGCCCTTCCAAGACCTGGCTGTCATTCGAAACCGCATTCGCAATATCCCTGTCAGCAACTAATCGATTCAACAGCAGAATCGCTGATTGTTGAAGATTCGAGTTTTCGCTGTGGAATGCGAGGAATGGTGGGATTGTTGGGAGTTTCGGGAATTCCGAGGACAACGCTTTGAAAGCATGGAGAGTTTGCCGATGCATCGAGGAATCAGCGCAGAGACGCTCCAGGGTTGTCATGCAAAGATGCATGAGCTCGGTGAGGTTGATATTTTCGACGGATTGGGACTGAAAATGAGGCGATTAGAAACAAAAATTACAAAAATGGTTTGTCTCCAATATCTTGGCGGAGAAAAAATGAGTTTGGAGAAAGTGGAAAAAGTGATCACGGATACTTAAATTTGGTATCAAAAGGTGTCAAACAGCTTTTTTTTAAGATACAGTTAAACCCCTGCACTCTTCTAATCGCAAGATATTTTTTATTTTTCTACAGGTGAAAAAGTAATTTTTGAAAATGTGGAAAAAGTTATCCTGGATACATTAATTTGGTATCAAAAAGTATCCAAATGGTTTTAAATAGTTTAGTCGAAACTTCGTTGCCGAAACATGAGGCAATGTTTTCAATTTCAGACATAGAAAAATGGGTTTTGAAAAAACGGTAAAGCTGCTCCTGGATACTTAAATTTGGTATCAAGAGGTATCAAGTAGCTTTTTTCTTCCTGTCTTTGAAGACAAAGAATAGCAAAATCAATCAAGGATACCTAAATTTGCGATCAAAAGGTATCATGAAAACATTGTCATATCAAACTTTTATTCCATCTCCTATTTGGACATTCTTGCTGGAAGGTTGTAAAATACGCTTTTTTCAGTCTTGGGGTAATTTTAACTTACATCCAAGCTTTTACTAGCCGCAACATGGAGAATATAAACAATTCGATCGGCAAATCCACCGAGATCCACATGGCCCGGCATGGTAATCCGGGCATGCCGGAAAACTGGCAAATTCACTTCTTGTGCGGCAGTCTTGGCGAGAATCTGAAAAAAATATATTTTTTGTTTTGTAAAATACGCAATTTGGAGCTTTTTTTACAATTTTTCGGCTTACCAAAAGAGTTTTCCGTAATAATGCAGGCCTCATTGCGACCAATTTTCGGAGGAAAAACTCGGCGCCATTCTCGGACAGGATGTGTTGCTGAACGGCCGTGTCGAAACGATGCCCACTGTAGAGATTTCGCAGGGCGGTGAGGGCGTTTTCCTGGAAAGAAATGGAAATTTGAATTGAAAAAAATAAAATTTTTTTATTTTTTGCTTTTTTGATAAATAAAGAAGTTGCAAAAATTCGAAAAAAATGAAAATAAAAGATTAAAATGTCGTAAAAAAATAGGAACAATTAATTTTAGAGCTCCGGAAAATTCAAAAAAAAAAAAAAAAATAATAAAAATTCATAAGAAAAAACCAAAAATTAAAAAAAATCTTTACAAGTTTTGGGCTCTCAAATAAAAAATAGATAAAAATAATTATTTTTTCAAAAGTAAAAATCTGCAAAATATCAAAAAAAAAAATAAAAATCATAAAATTTTATCGGTCTGTCGGGAAAATAATGAGCACTCTGTCGCATCGAAAATCGCATTACTGCCGAGAAAATGAATTGTGTCGCGACAAAATGAAATCGCTTTTCAATTTAGCGACGGCGCAGAGACATTATGATCATTATTTTCCCGACGAACCAAAAATTTAAAAAAAAAATAAAAAAATATAAAAAATCCAAAAGTTTTAAAAAAAATGTAAATTTTTGGACTTCAAAATTTTTAAAATACGACATTCTGAAAAAAAAAACTCTATATATACCTGAATATCCTCCAAAACATCCGTCGCCGACCTCGAAGGCTCTTCCACATTCTCCAACTGCTCTTCCGTCTCAAACAACACGCATTTCAGCGCTCCAACCACATTGATACTGCACAAGAACTCTTTGTTCTGTCGATTATTGGCGGATAAATTGGCTAGCGCTTGCACACAAAGTTGTCGTATCCGTGTGTCTCGCAACGCCAATAATTGCACCAGCTTGGCCAAGAGAGGGGTGATATCGTGTCGATCCGTTGGGACGTCGCTCAAATCTCGAGTGCAAATCAAAGACTCCGTTACGACGCGTTGGCTGGGGTAGTCAAGGCTGATTGGGAGAACGTCGAAAGCACCGGATTCCACTACTCGTTGGGGGCTCTGAAGTGCATAGAAAGTGATACAGTTTTTTTCGCCAAAAAATTTTTAGCTTGCTTTGCAAAAACGACCGAGATTTTTATTAGATTGTCCCATAAATAGTGTACCTCTTCGAGAGGGGCAAAATCAAAGGTCTATAAAAAACGTAAGCACTAGCCAAATTTCGCAACGTTACTCCCATTTTGTAGCTGTTATCTCAGGCTTTCGTTTAATGTATCGCATACGATATTTGGATGAAATTACAGTATTTATTTAGCGCCAATTCAAAATTATGGAAAAAAGGTAGATCCGTGTCACGAAAAGTTTCATAACTACTTCTACCATAGACAGTAATGTTTCCACACAAAGATAAATGTTTTCAGCTTGAAGTTGACAAAGATATGGCCAAACAGTGTTTTTCCCTGAAGCCGTTCTCCGGATTTTGCGCAGAAACGACCAAGATTTTTAGGTTGAAAGTTGGAAAAAATGCGGTATATGGTTGTAAGTGTTTTCAAAGGCTTTTCTTTTACCATTGAGAGAAATGAGTCCAATGAAAGCAATTTTTTTCATAGTGAAACTGACAAAAATATTGAAAAGTTTCATGGCTATTTCTATCGTAGAGAGTAAATCAAATTTTTCCACGCGAAACTGGCAAAGATATGGCCAAAAAGTGTTTTTATCTATGATAATCGACGGCTCTTCGTGTTTCTTGTACTCTCTAGGCCGCAAAGGTTGTAGAAAGCTAAAAACTTTTGGAATTGAAAAGCCCGTAATATGTGCAAAATCGAAAAAATATCTGAGCGTCATACTGGCATAGCTACCTTCATTGCAAGTTTAGCAAATGTCTCACTAACGTCTTTAGGCTTTCGTTGTTTTCAATGTCATGAGATAACACTTCATCTTTTACTTATGCAACATGCTCTTTACCATGTCATCAGAACCTCAAACTCTTATAATTCCAACCAAAGCCAAGTAAAAATTCAAAAATTCAAATCTGATATATCTGTGATCTCTTGCATTACCATGCTCAATATCAACATTCTTCATGTGCTCGCGGTAATCTTGTTGTCTATTCTCTGTGCTCCCTTGACGCAACAAACAATTTTTGAATTCAAACATTTCCCGCGGTAAATTCTGCTCTACTTTACGCAATCGTACATTTGGCTTTGTCAAATCTTCTGCTATCGATTTTTCTGCCAATCCGACCCCGCCCCCAAAGAATAGGGGTATAAAAGGCGAGGGGATTCGACAACAGATCATTCATCAGATCATCTACATCTCATCTCAAGTACAAACTCAGCTTTAGCTCCTTCTCTACGTTCTACTTTGGGCTGTTTACATTATTCTAGAGCCTTCAGATGTTGTTCATCCCCTTTCCCCTTATAAATCCTTGTTGATAGTGATTCGCAGCGTATCACCGGGGATTTATTGGGCGAGGGGGGATGGTCAACATCTTCTAGGCCTTCTGTAATATTTCTACTATCGTATTTCGGCAGTTTACTCAGTATTTTGTTCGATACTCAGCGATTCCTCCGTCAATTTCTAGTTGATTGTAAATTTGACATTGCTAATCACCGGGGATTGACTGGGTGCTCGCTGGGTGTTCAACGTTTTACTGGGTCCACTAGCTTGCCATTCGTACAATATTTCTGTTCTACTACTGTCTATTTGGTTGTTTATAGAGTATTTTACTCATTACTGCATCAATGACTTGGTTGATTGAACAGTTTATGCAAATCACCGGGAATTGATGTGGTAAGGAGTGGAATTACCGTGCTCCCAGCTTTATCAACAGCCATCACTGTTTATATTAATACTGTAACTTCACCTTTCTACCATCGGAAGACTTCCTTGCAAAGGATTTTCGCTCATTACTGCATCAATGACTTGGGTGATTGAAAATTTTATGCAAATCACCGGGAATTGATGCGGTAAAGAGCGGAAGTGCCCTGCTCCCAGCTTGGCTACATCCAATTACTATTGATATTACCAGTGTATATTTAATTCTTACTAGAATTTTTGGCTCGTCTCTCATTACCGCCTCAATGACTTGGTTGATTGAAAAATCTATGCAAATCACCGGGAATTGATGTGGTAAGGGGCGAAAATCCCTCCTCTACTGCCTTCTACATGTACTCATCTACATTTATTTGCTTTATCCTACAAAATTACAACATGTTCTTTTAATCTACAGTATTTTTTCTCCCATCACCTCTTCAATGTCCAGTTGATTGGTGATTTATGCAAATCACCGGGGATTGAAGCGGTAATGGGACAAAACACTTGTCCTAGAGCCTAGTCAGCACTATTTCTACGATCTACTACTGCCCTGTGGTCTACATATACTTTCCATACGCTTTGGTTTCCATTTCCATCTTAATGACTTGGTTGCTTGATGATTTATGCAAATCACCGGGAATTGATATGGGAAAGGCTTCTAATTGCCGGAAAATATATTCATGCCGTACTAGCTACTATGTTCTACTATTATGTTGACCATTCTACGTCATTCATGACATCTACAGTAAGATTTATCCCTTGCCATCTCAATGACCAGTAGATTGAAAAGATTTTACAAATCACCGGGAATTGATGTGGCGAGTGGAAGATTTTACTCTCTGGTTCTTTCTGCCACTCTCTATGTACATTATTACTACTACTACTACATACTGTTTTGGCCTCAACAGCCATTGCCTCAAGCATCTTACGGTAGATTGAGATCTCTTTGGTCAATCACCGGGGAATGTTTGCGGCAACGGCTGACCAGGCCAACTATTTACTATTATTACTGCTTTTACTACGACTACTAAGTGTTTTCTACTGTCAGAACTTGATTACTTTGTCATTTACCTTGCCATCTGCTGGTTGATTGAGAGTTTCGGCAAATCACCGGGGATTGCTGGGTAAATGACCAAGTATTTCAATCATACTTGTATATTCCGACTACTGCTATTTACTACTTCTAACTGTCGATACATCATCATAAACTTCCAAACAATGGCAAAAGCGCTCCTCCAACATATCCATGGTTACTGTAATTTCGATTTTTTTGCGAGTAACCGGGACATGTTGAGGGACTGTTTGAAGCCATAGATTCTCTATGTAAATCAACTCAAATCAACTGTTTTTATGGGTTGTGATATTGATTGTTGGCCTGATAATGAAGCCAAGACCTACCTGAACAGAGATCGATTTGATCAACCGGACTGTGCGCCAGAGGAGGTTCTCATAACGGGCCCAGGAAAGAATACTGCACAAGTGGGCTGGACCATTCAAATTGACAAAGAGGGCCTGAAAAGGAAATATATTTGCGTTGAAAGTCGATCAAATGTACGGACAAAGCTCTGTACATTGAAATCCATATATCATGGAAAAATATTTGTCACAGAGAAGCATGATGTATGAAGGGTTTTTTGGCTTCGAACTGACGACTTCGAATCTTGAAAAGTGTTCGTAAAAGATAAGGTTCGTTGGCTCGAGAGGGTTTTTTCTATTTTTTGAATCCTTCATACTCTACGCAACGATGATAGGCCGTTGAACCCAAGTTTGCCACAACTATTATACTATCTGTCAGTCGGGAAAATAATGAACACAATGTAGCATCAAAAATCGCATCGCCGACGAGAAAATGAATTGTGTCGCGGCACAATCAAATTTCTTTTCGTTTCAGCGACGAAGCGACAAATACTCATTATTTTCCAGACAGACCAATAGAGGCCTTACTTAGTAAAGGCTTATTTTGTAGTCAAATAACTAAAGATTCGGCTTGGAAATTCTAAAATCGTCGATTATTGTGATTTTCATCCAGATGTGACGCTTATATTTCGACAAAATGCGTTGTGATTTACTGATCTTTTTTGAATGAACCTAAACCCTTCCATTTCTCACCTTCTGATCCGCATTCTTATCGCACAGCAACTGCAGAATGTCCACAGTTACCGCGAGCAATTTCTCATTCCGATCGGCCAGCCAATCAACGATCACCGCCATGGCTTTCTGAGTGCGTGCAAAGTCGACCACTCTCTTGCCCACATTCTTGTCTGTCATCAAGTTGTGTAGGATCAAAAGAGCGTACTTGAAGCAGGCCCACTCCTCCACATGAATGCAGCGGATCAGGTCGGCGAGGAAGTTGTTCAGAGAGGACTCTTGGACGGTGCTCAGGATCAGATCCATGCCTTGATCACGGTTGGAGATGTGGAAGAGGGCGCATAATGTGACGCGGATTGCTTTCTGAAAAGAGAGGGGATATTACTTGAGGGTGGTTTTATGGGAAAGAGATAAGTAGAAGGGGTCTTTGAGAAAGAAAAAGACACAATTATAACACCAGGAGTAAATTTGATGTTGCAACAAGGAATGTAAAACCTCTGGAGTAAAATTGTATATAGCTCGGAGAAATGACAACCTTTCTCTTTTTTGTTGCTTGTGTAGCGACATAGATACCAATGCATCGGGAAAATAATGAGCTCAATGTCGTTTATTTCACCAAACGAAGCGGTATTTATCAGTCTGTCGGAAAAATAACGTTCGAAATGTCACTGTGTCGATAGCATTATTGAAGTGAAAGGCAATTTTATTTTACCGTGACACAATTCATTTTCTAGGCAACGATCCGATGTTCGATGCGACAGTGTGCTCATTATTTGCCCGACAGACTGACATAATAAATAAAAGCAAAGCATACAGTGGCGTCTCGGAACCGCCCGTGATCGCTTTGCGACGCCTAGGAGACTGTATTCATTTAGCGACAAAGCGATACACCTTACTGCGACAATTCTTTATCGCTCTTTCGGGAAAGTAACGAGCCCCAGTCGCATTAAAAAATGGCATCACCGCCGAGAAAATGAACTGTGCCGAGGGAAAATCAAGTTGCTTTTCACTTCAGCAACTCGATTGGGGCAGCGACATTGTCCTCATTATTTTCCCGACAGCTGATAAAACCCACTTTGTTTTGGTGAAATAAACTGTCAAATAGTGGCTTTTCTGATGACAAAAAGTTTACGCATTTTTAGAAAATTATAGTAATATAAAGAAACATTGATGTAACCCGTGAAAAGATGGTAAAGAAAGTAAACAGGACGTATTTTAAAACTCCTCAAATCTTACCTTGTCCTCAAACCTCTTCCTCAGCACACTTGTCAACGCCAACACCACTCGTTTGTCATTGATCACCGGTTCAGAGTAATGTTGTTGTGAGTCCAATTTAGCGATATGGCCGACCATTTCCAGGGCGCGGCAAGCCACTTCCTAAAATAAAGGATATCAATACTTTTGGCGTATTTTACATTTTTTTTGTTCGGCAAATTGATGCATGTTATGAAAAAAAAGGTTTTTATGGAAGGTACTCAGGAGGAGAAAGTCCCAAGTGTGACTCTCAGAATTTTTTCAAAATTGGCACACTCTTCGGACATATGTAGGCCACATATCAATTCTTGAAAATTTTAGCTGGCGCTTTACAGGGAGAGCCGAGATATTATTCGACAATCTTCGACGCCAAGAGAGTACGCAAAACGCGGAAAGAGAAAAATTCTTTTTGGCCATACCTTTGCCAGCTTTGCCAGGAAATTTTTTTTGCCCTATACAGTAGGAATAAGGAAATTGAAACATTTCATGTCAAAATTCGCAAAAAAAAATTCCGCACATCTTTGCCAAGTGTGTGCGGAAAAAATTGGTTTTTACTGAAAATATTACCAGCTACAGTACAAACAGGCGTAGAATGCGGAGAGCGGCCAGAGAGAAGAGCACTTTTTGGCCGTATCTTTGCCAGTTTTAAACGGAAAAATTGATTTTTTTTGTGAAAACTTTATCTTCTACGGTAGTAATAGGGGTAAAAGCTATGAATGTAAAAATTCGACAAAAATAGCGTCACATTTTTTGGGGCTTTTGTAGTTTAGCCCCCCAGGAAAGGGGGGCGGTAGTTCAAACCCCCACTGTTTTGTCCATTTCACACCCTCATAATGAAAAAGTTAGAATAATACAAAAAATGCAAATTAGAGTAAAATGACTCCCGGCGTTGTAGCTCCAACCCCAGTAACCGCCCAAATTCGTTCTTGTGGTTCAGGCAACGCTGATCGTAGCCGAGAGAACCCAATCCCGAGTAGGCGCTTCAGATTGAATGAGGGGGTTTATACTGGGTCAAGGGGGGGGCTGAACCGGACTGGGGGTTGTACTACCTTAGCCCACATTTTTTATGATTTTCGATTAAAAAATCTTCATTGTTTCTGCAAAAAACGCACTAGGATTCTCGCATGTTTTAATAAAAAAATGCTAGAATTGCGCCCAGTTTGTTCAAATCTATACGTCACACTTGAGCACTTCCCTTGTAAATTTTAAAATTCCACTTACCTCATCCGGATCGTCGAGCAAAGGAATCAGTTCCGGCAAAACTCTCCGCGCATTTTCCGAATCATTAGCGGGCAGTGGAGCCGACACCGAAGGCTCCATTTGCGTCGAATCACACGCCGCTCTCGTGCTCTGACATTCGGGGCTGGCGAGCGGACGTTGCGGACACTTTGGGGCATTCATTGACATTATGGAAGCCGGCTGAAATCAAAGAAAATTTATGGAATTTTGGAATAAAAGAGGGGGTACGGTAGACTCTTTTTATTTTTGTTGGGTTTGTAATAATTTTGGGATTGGAATTTGTGCGGTTTTTTGTCTGAAATTCTTGAAGTTTTTGGGGGAATTGCTTCAAGTTCGACGCTCAGATTCTGATGAAACTTGGCATAGACTTAGAAAAACATTTTTTAAGACACAGGCAAGGCTGCTGGATCGCGCTTTGCAGAAACAACCGATTTTTACAACGAAAGTCGGCCAAAATTTAGGATTTTTTGCGAAATTTCGGTACGAAAAGTTTCATGCCTATTTCCACCGTAGAGAATAAAGTTCCTACAAAAAATCAAATTTTTCCGCACGAAACTGCCAAAGTTATGGCCAAAAAGTGTTTTTCTCTCTGACCGCTCTCCACGTTTAGCATGCTCTCTCAGCGGCAAAAATCGTTCGAAATCTCGGCGGCACCCGCAAAACTGAGATAAGCTAAAACAGTCCGGTGAATGAATTGGCACTTTGCCAAAAAAAGACGCGAAAAAACGTTTTGTCGGGGAAGAAATGGGGAATTTTTGGGGCGAGAGAGTACGCTTTTGCGTGTCTTTTTCTCTGACTTCTCTGTGAAATCAAGACGAAGTGTAAAAAACCGATGGCGAAGAGTCTATTCCGGTCACCGGACTCCTCAGTTTGACGTGCGGCGCCCGCAAAGCGCGAGCTAAAACTTTCAGGAATTGATATTTAGTCCATACCCGACGTGTCTGCAAAATTTAAAGAAAATCTGAGCGTCGCACTTGGAGTACTTCCCCTGTTAGAATCTTTTTTGATCTTTCGGATAAAATTCAAATTTATTACTTTAAAAAATCCAGATTTTTCGCAATTTTTTCGTAATGTTATTCTCTAAAAATTTTCCGGATTCTTTTTAGCAAAAAATCGTTTCAGTTTTTCAAAGTTTTTTAAATACGAGATCTCCAAAAGCCATCATAAATACTAAAAAAACTCACTTTACTGCTCTCCATTGACTGAAATCCAGAATCATGATAATAGTTCTGCCGGAACCATTGCTGCGCCTTTACACATCCATTTTTCAGTTGATCGAGGTCCGTATATTGCTCATCGGAGAGGAGTTCGCTAGCTTGCACCGGTTCGTCCGGCACACCAGCCGGGCCACTCTCCGCATACATTGATTTGGGGTCCATGGGATGGAATGCCGAGCCGGGCGGACAGTAAATGTCCATCTGAAAAAAATGGAAAATATAAAAAATCGAAAAATCGAAAAATTAAAAAAATGTGAATCACGAAAAAACATAATTTAAATAGGAATTGATCAATGAAAAAAATGGATCAATAAAAATAATTTTTTAAAAATGATGGCATTCGGAAAATGATTGGGCTAAATAAAAAAAAAATAAAAATAAAAAAAAATAAAAAAAAGTAAAAAAATCGAAATAATAATTAAATAAAACAAAAAATGGAAAGTCCAAAAAATCTCAGAATTTACGAACAAACAATTACAGTAACCCTATATTTGCCAAAAAAATTTAAAATAGCCCAAAAATGGCCAAATCGAACATTTTTCTAATTGAAAATTAAAAGCAACACCTAAATTTAGAATAAAAATTAAAAAAAATCAAAAAATCCTAATATACATTGGTTAAAATTTTCATACATGTCATATAAAAAAACAACAGTAACCCTTTATTTAACAAAAAAAATGGAATCAATCCAAAAATGGCCAAAATGAAACTTTTTTAAATTAAAAATTACAAAAATAATAATAATTAAAAAAAAAAAAAAATAAAAATTTACGCACATCCCACATAAAAAAAATTACAGTAACCCTTCGTTTGCCAAAAAAATCAAAATCAGTCCAAAAATGGCCAAATTGAAACTTTTTTAAATTAAAAATTACAAAAATAATAATAATTAATAGCAAAAAATATAAAAAAAAGTAAAAAATTTGACATCCGATATAAAAATTACAGTACCTCTCCGTCCTCGAAACAATTTCCAAACCCGTTTAAATGCTGACAATGCGAAAGCCCCATCCAGAAAAAGGCCGGCCTTTTAATCCCCGCGCGAAACATATGCGCAACCAATCAAAAAACTGTCAAGACGCGCAAAACTGTCGACAGTTTTGCCGGCGTTTCACTTTTTACTGCCGTTTGTTTTCCGAAATTTGAATATTTCGGATTGACAAGGGGATTTGAGTAATCGCGCGGAAAGTGTGTGGGAGAGAGTGAAAACAAATAAAAAAATTGAGATTTTGTTGGAAAAAGTGAAGAATCTTTGGAAAAAAAAGAGTTTTAGAAATACAAAAAACTTGGTTAAAGTCTAAAAACTTGATTAGAACATGATTTAAAAAAAGAGTGACTGCACGGTGCAAAAAACTTTGATTTTAAAATTTCGCACCGTGCAGTCAAAAAAACTTATTTTTGCACTGTGCGAGAAGCTCAGAAAGAAATCAAACTAGCAAAAAAAGATATCACCGTGGCTGTAATTTCTAATTTATCGGTGAAAAAATTGATATTTTTGAAAATTGCACTGTGCGAAATAAAAAAATAAAAATTGCACAGTGCGGTTAAAAAAATTATTTTTTCCTTGGGCAGAGGGCTCGATAAAGATTGAAATTGACCATGAAAAATCTAGACTGAATTTTTCTTTACGTTTAGCAAATTTTTTTTTAATTTATAAATACTACACTGTGCAAAATAAAAAAATAAAAAATTGCACAGTGCGGTCAAAAAACAAAAATCTTTGCTCGTGCAGGCGGCTCGATCAACAAATTGGAATGATGGCGAAGCATTTCTACACTGCACTTTAAATCTACAGCAAAAAAAATTTAAATTCCGAATATTGTACTGTGCAAAATACAAAAAGGTAAAAATTGCACGGTGCGGTGAAAAAAATTGGTTTTTTTGCACTGTGCAAGCATTTAATAAAATTTTATTAACAACAAAAAATTTACCATAAATTCTGAGATGAATCTATAGTCCAAAACTGATCAACTTTTCCAAATGAAAAAAAAATTTATTCCAAATTTCAACCCCCAAAGCTCAAAAGACTCCCCTTTTGGCAGGATTCGCATCAAGAGCACTTGCCAAACAAAAAATTTCACACAATTTGAAAAGGTCATCACTCGGAAAACGATGGCTTCAAATCGATCATCTGGGCCCATGTTTCTTTTTCTACGTCCTCCTTGCGCTCCCAGGGAACTCTTTCCATGTGAATTTCGAGGGGTCAATTCGAAGAGTGAGTCATAATCAACGAATACAGAAATGGAGAGGGGAGAGAAATTGGTGAGGGGGGATTACGGTAGGCTGGAGAGAAAAGGGATTACGGTAAAATACGGTATCGTAAACCAAAAGTATGTATTGGTACAATGAATTGAATGGATGAAAAAAAGAAAAAAAAGGTAAAAAATTTTTCAAAAAAAAATTTTTTTATAGAAATTTTAAAATGCCTAATGCACAGTGCAAGAAGAAATAGTAAATTGTACAGTGCAAAGTGCACTTTTGTTTTTGCACAGTGCATGTCGCTAAAGTCACTTCATCGACCATGTGAACAAGCTAGAATGAAATCCACATTATTTTCCCGACAGACAGATCCAAGGCCGTTCGAAAAGCCGCTGGAGCAATTCTTGGCGTTTGCACTGTGCAGAAAAAGTCAGGGTGCGAGCCACAGCCCAAAAAGTCCAGTGCACGGTGCAAAAAGTAAGAAATTGCACGGTGCAAAGCAAATTTTCATTTTCGCACAGTGCATGTCGCTAAAATCAGTTCAGCGACCTTGTAAACGAACTAGTATGAAATTCACATTATTTTCCCGACAGGCTAATACTAACTTGTTCTTGAAGTCGCTGGAATGATTTTTGGCGCTTGCATTGTGCAGAAAATGCCTATTGCACGGTGCAAAAAATAAGAAATTGCACAGTGCAAAGTAAACTTTCGTTTTTGCACAGTGCATGTCGCCAAAATCACTCCATCGACTCTGTGAAGAAGCTAGTATGAAATCCACATTATTTTCTCGACAGACTAATACTACGTCGTTTGTAAAGTCGCTGGAGTAATTCTTGGATTTTGCACTGTGCATAAAAACCCCACTGTACGGTGCAAAAAATAAGAAATTGCACAGTGCAAAGTAAACTTTCGTTTTTGCACAGTGCATGTCGCTAAAATAAACATTTTTTGGCCAATACTTTTTTTTACATCAAAAAAAAAACTTCCCTCCGAGTTCCCTCTCCGAATTGATCTCTCTCTCTCCCTCTTCAACCCCTCTCAAACCGTTGAGTAATTCCACTGCGCGCGCGACATTCTAACATTCGAAAAAACTTTTTTTTCCACAGGCTTTTTTCAGCGCTTATCATGAACAACGATCTAAAAACAATATTTTTCCCTCTTCAGACAACTTTTGGAGGGGAGAAAAGTCAGCCAAAAGTAATACTCTTTTTTTCAAGATGAAGCGTGCCTTGAAGCCGAGGAAAAGTGATATTACTACAAAAACAAGTGTTTTTGGAAAAGTGCAAATTTTATGTGCAATAAAAACTCGTGTATAACAAATTACAGAAAATAAAAAAAATTGGTGACTATATATAAAAGGGTTTTGTTGTACCGAGGATTTTGATTTTGGCCAAAAATTGATTCCTGGGACTTTTAAAATTGTTGGGTATAAACAGGTGTCGTTGCAAGGAGGCTTGATTTACTACGGAGGTTTCACTGTAATATCAGTTTGTCGGGAAAATAATGAGCACCCTGTCGCATCGAAAATCGCATCGCCGCTAACGAGTGACCAAATAAACCGTATTTTTTGGCCAAAAAGCGTCAAAATTGATAATTTTTCATCGAAATATTTCACAGTTAACCTCTATAGAGCAAAAGCCATCTATAACAAACAATTTCTGAGTTCTCGAGAGACAATTTTAAGCCAAATGAACCTCCGTTCAACGAAATCCTTCACATAGGGTCTATCAGTCTGTCGGGAAAATAATAGGCACTCTGTCGCATCGAAAACCGCATCACCGTCGAGAAAATAAACTGTGTTGCAACTAGATCAAGTTGAGTTTCACCTCAACGATGCGATCGGCGCAGAGGCAATGAGCTCATTATTTTTCCGAGAGACTAACTAACAGGGGAAGCACTCCAAGTGCGACGCTCAGATTTTCTTTAAATTTTGCACACACGTCGGGTATGGACTAGATATCAATTCCTGAAAGTTTTAGCTCGCGCTTTGCGGGCGCCGCCGAGATATTGAACGATCTTTGCCGCCGAGAGAGAACGCTATGCGCGGAGAGCGGTCAGAGAGAAAAACGCTTTGTGGCCATAACCTTGGCAGTTTCGTGCGGATAAATTTGATTTTTTGTAGAAACATTATCCTTTACAGTAGAAGTGGGCATGAAAATTTTCGCGCCGAAATTCGGCAAAAAGTCCTAAATTTTCGCCGTCTTTCGATCTAAAAATCTCGGTTGTTTCTGCAAAGCGCGAGCTAAGAATCTTGCATATATCTTAGAAAAAATTATTCTAAATTTGTGCCAAGTTTCATCAGAATCTAAGCGTCGCACTTGGAGTACTTCCCCTGTAAGAAAAAAAAATTTTGCTGGGCTTCTTACTGTTTTTAGGGCTTTCTGACTGCATTTACTACAATAAAATCACGTCATTCAGGGTCTATCATGAGCTATTTTTACTATACTTATATCCTCTGCCCATCCCCTCAAAAATGAGTTAAGAACGACGCGAGAACGAGCGGTTATTTGAACCCCCCGTCGCTTCGACATTAAAAACGCTTTTTGTGGCCCCGCCGGCTTCTCCTTCGCCTATCACCCGCAATCAGGGGTGGGGGAAAGGAGGGCAAGTCAGTGAGTGCCCTGAGGCTGTTATGTAATCAAAACGGAATGAGTGAAAAGCGAAACGTCCTTTTAATCGAAGAGGCGCCTAATAGACGGGAGACGGCTGCTGGGCGCTTTTTCTTGTCAAAACCTCCGCTTCGGCTTTAAGCCTGGGGGGATTTAGGTTAATACAGAGGGATCTGATGGGACCGAGGCTTACTGAAAAAGTTGTCAAGAGATGTCGCGGGTCAAGAAATGATTCTTAGGGGGAAACAGAAAGAAAATGCAAAAAAATGTAATTTGAAAAACATCTATCTTCATTTTACTTTATTCTTATTAATATTTCCTTTATTTATACAGTAGAGAATATTGTTTCGGCAAACAAAATAAGCCTTTCTGCAAGAAATTGGTAAAAAATCA